TCTCGATCAATTCATTTCTTAAAATATCTTTTCTTGTAACACCACTCATCTATCTCAACATTATCATTTTAGTTACACTCATTTCTAAACATGCTTTTGAAAGTTTAGAAAAGAGGAAGAGATAGGGAATGAGTGAGACCTCATTCCTTTTTATATTGATAATAATGCGTAATTACAGGAGTTTAGGCATAAATTATGGGCCAGCCCATTACATCAATCAAGGGAAGATAAAATCAAATAAGAATAAAATATAACAAATATTGTTTCCTATTCCAACACTCCCCCTCAAACTGGTGCAAAGATATCTCTCATATCCAGCTTGTTAAGAATGTCATGAAATGGTTTGCTCCCTATTCCTTTGGTGAGAATATCTGCTAGTTGTTCCCCAGTCTTCACAAATGGAGTACATATGATGCCACTAGTGAGTTTTTCCTTGATGAAGTGCCTATCAATCTCCATATGCTTGGTTCTGTCATGTTGAGCTGGATTATGAGCTATGTTGATTGCTGCCTTGTTGTCACAGTACAATCTCATGGAATTAGTCTGATGAATCCCCAAGTCTCCCATCAATAGTCTAATCCATAGAAACTCACATATACCCTGAGCCATAGCCTTGAATTCTACCTCAGTACTAGTTCTAGCAACCACATTTTGTTTCTTACTTCGCCATGCGATTAGGTTGCCTCCAACAAATGTGTAATATCCAGAAGTTGATTGTCTGTCAGTGACTGATCCAGAATATGGAGACCATGTTCCTCTCTACCACTGCCAATCCTCTTTCTCATGATAAGGTCTTGAAAAAGATAATGATCAGGAAAAAATGTCACGCTACAATTCAAATCACGAGTAATACGACTCAAAGATAAAAGATTAACAGTAAAATTGGGAACATGGAGTACAGAGGTCAAAGGAAGGGAAGAGTTAGGATGAATTAAACTTTTCCCTGACACAAACGAAATCGTATCATTAGCAATACGCACTTTTTCCTAACCTGAGGAGGGTGTATAATTTGAGAACAAATTAGAAGAAGCAGACATATGGTCGGAAGCTCCAGAATCAATAATCCAATGAACAGTCTTATGAGATAGTAATGCACTTGCAGAGGAAGCCAAGTTACCTGAGTGGGCAAGGAGAGAAGAGGATGCATTGAAGACAATAGTAGAGGCTTGATGGTCTAGCAAGTGGTGAAGAGCAATCTCAAACTCTGAGGCAGACAACCTAGAAATATCAGCAGCCGATGAGACAACAGGAATTGAATGTGGTGTCTCAACCGTGTCAGAAAGATGAGCCTGAGCATTGGCCCCTCGGCTTCTAGACTGGCTTGACCTACTCCTTGAGAACCAGAACGATCGCCTCGGCTACTAGGAGGAGTCCCATGTAGTTTCCGGCAAGTCTCTCGTGTGTGTCTAGGTCTATGGCAGTAGTCACAGAAAAGATTATCCTTATCAGATGATGGACGAGAACCGCGAGACACACACTTTCCATCTTGGGAAGGTGTAGAGACCAAGGTAGAACGATTAGTAGTGGTAAAAGAAAGCGTTGTAGAGCGGCGGCGACTCTTCTCATTCTGCACATAAGAGAAAGCTTCCTAGAGAGAAGGAAGCATGTCCATACCATGTATTCTGCTTTGAACAGCTTCTACTCCACAAATTTCCGATAACCAACAGAATCCGTGGGACAGATAGGCTTGTAATCCTGAAGATGGTTAAGTCTCTTCCACCCGTTGCTATGGAAGGTAAAATACTGGAGAACAGTCTTCTCACCCTGTACTACCCTCTCAATGGACCGACGTAACTCGAAAGCCTGAGAGAAATTCCTCTTCCAGGAGTAAGTAGTAACCACTGCCTCCCAAATATCTTGTGCAGTGTCCATAGATAGATAGCCCTCGCCAATCTCTAAGACCATAGAATGTATCAACCAACCCATAATTAGGGAGTTGGTGATCTCCCAGTGATCATAACTCGTATCCGTGGTGCTGGGTGCCTGCATCCCGCCATCAACATACTCCCTCTGCTCTTTAAAAAAATAGTCAAACTCTGCAACCATGCTAGATAGTTTTGACCGTTAAATAGAGAGGTGGGGATTTTAAGACCAAGGTTAGGGTTATCAGTCATAGTAGTAGGCATAATAGAACTCTTACTCTTAGGTGTCTGAGAAGTGATGGACACTGGTGGAATCTGCCATGGATACTCTACTACCTAACCCTCAACAAAACTAGTGCCAATCACAAACCCGGAAGATGGTGGAGGAATAGTAAGCGCGATGACCACTAAGAATATTAAAGAATTAAAAACTCATCAATTTTTTATTTTTATTTTTTTTAGGCGTAATACATAATCAACGAAAGAAGAAACCTAGAACGGACAATTGTGGAGGATTTACATCATGACCAGAGACGACTGGCGACCCTGAAAAGGGCAATCGAACGACACCCAACCAGTACCGAGACTGGTTGGCTAGAGGAAGGCCCTCGACAGGACTTGGAGAAGCCTGCTGAGGGGGGGAGAGAAGAAGAAGGAAGGGCTCTCGGCTCTGGTGGTGAGGTGTAGGAAGACCGTCGGCATTGGTGGGGTGGGGTGGGGTGGTGTGGTGTAGTGGGGCTATCGGCTCTGGTGGGGTGGTGCAGAGGGGCTGTTGGCTTGGTTGGGTGAGTTATAGGTTTTTTTCGGGTGCTGGGGAGGCAAACAAGAACAATTGTGTGGGATGGGTAGGGAAGAGAAAGAGAGAGCTAGGGCATGGCTCTGATACCATGAAAGTTTAAAGAAGAGAAAGAGAGAGGGAATGAGTGAGACCTTATCCCCTTTTATATTGATAATAATGCGTAATTAAAGAAGTGTTATTAGGCATAAATTATGGGCCAACCTATTACATCAATCAAGGGAAAATAAAATAAAATAAGAATAAAATCTAACAAATATTGTTTTCTATTCTAACCTTAGTTGCACAAAGCGGGAGCGGAAGCGGGGGCGGGAGCAGGAGCGGGAGCGGGGAAGCGCGAGCTGATAGAAGTTTCTTAGGTTGGGAGCGCCTCGGGAAGCGATAATATATATATATTTTTAATTGTTATTTCTAAAATATATTTATTATATAAAGGTGAGTTACTTCACCTAACCCACTATCACCTCCACTACACCCACTACCACATTTTCTTCTATATATAGATTGTATAGGAATTGTAAACAATCATCTTGTAATCAATCAATTCAACATATCAATAATACATAAATTTTTATAGCAGGTATAATGGAACTCTCACTCTTAGGTGTCTGAGAAGTGATGGACACTGGTGGAATCTGCCATGGATACTCTACTACCTAACCCTCAACAAAACTAGTGCCAATCACAAACCCGGAAGATGGTGAAGGAATAGTAAGCGCGATGACCACTAAGAATATTAAAGAATTAAAAACTCATCAATTTTTTATTTTTATTTTTTTTTAGGCGTAATATATAATCAGCAAAAGAAGAAACCCAGAATAGACAATTGTGGAGGATTTACATCGTGACCAGAGACGACTGGCAACCCTGAAAAGGGCAATCGAACGACACCCAACCAGCACCGAGACTGGTCGGCTGGAGGAAGGCCCTCGACAGGACTTGGAGAAGCCTGTTGAGGGGGAGAGAAGAAGAAGGAAGGGCTCTCGGCTCTGGTGGTGAGGTGTAGGAAGACTGTCAGCGTTGGTGGGGTGGAGTGGGGTGGTGTGGTGTAGTGGGGCTATCGGCTCTGGTGGGGTGGTGTAGAGGGGCTGTTGGCTTGGTTGGTTGAGTTACAGGTTTTTTCGGGTGTTGGGGAGGCAAACAAGAACAATTGTGTGGGATGGGTAGGGAAGAGAAAGAGAGAGCTAGGGCATGGCTCTGATACCATGAAAGTTTAAAGAAGAGAAAGAGATAGGGAATGAGTGAGACCTTATCCCCTTTTATATTGATAATAATGTGTAATTAAAGGAGTGTTATTAGGCATAAATTATGGGCTAGCCCATTACATCAATCAAGGGAAAATAAATAAAATAAGAATAAAATCTAACAAATATTGTTTTCTATTCTAACAGCTTTTTCTGAAGTGTCCAACATGCTTTTCTTAATTTTCACGCGCCATATGCTTGGACTTGGCTATTTTACTTGAATTCATTTTACATTGAATTTCATGGCTTGTAAGCCTGAGTTTGGGTTAAAATTGGGCCCAACTTGATAAATATATAGTTATGTTTCTATAAATGTTTCTCTTGTTTAATCTGCAAAAAACGCTTATATTTAGTGTAGAGTGTATTTGTTATGGCTTCTTTGCTCAATTAAGGTCAGAGGCATCTTCATTCAACTTTGCTGGTGAGACTTGCCCAAGCTTGAATTGTAATCCGAAGTTGTCTGTCCAAACCCGACCCGAGTTGAACCCAAATTGCTCGAATTGTCCGAATTGTACATGAAATTTCAATTTAGTTCTTTTTTTTCCCCAGCTAAATTATTAATTTGTTAAAATTAGACTCTATTTACATTTTTGTAAAGAAAATTGTTAATAACATCAAAACAAATAATCAGTAGCCTTTACAATTTATGAGTGAGAATAAAAATATAAGATTTTGTATTATGTTACTTGTGTATATTTAATGTATATTCTGGATGATTTAATAATCTAAATTACTTTAACATCATGTAATGGCTAATAATTCATATATATTTAATATTTTTATATATCTATATATATAATTCGGGTTTCGGGTTGCTCGGATTGTTTGATGTCTTTGTCCAAGCCCGCCCAAATTTAATTCGAGTTTTTGAATTTTTATCCATGCTCATACCGAATTCAAAAATATCTTGGCCAAGCCCTAAAAAAAATTTGGGCTGGGCTCATGTTGCTCTGGTTGATCCCGCCCAAGTTGCATCCCTGGCCAAACTTCATGAAATAATTTTTGATTTTATTATCACTCTCTATATAGTTAAGCAGATTTTATTCTCTTTCATTTTTTTCTATCACCTTCAAATTAGCTTATTGTCATGTATTCCAGGTATGAAGGCCTTTCAGAAAGGTTTCTGTCATGTCCTACTCCAAAGCTCTTGCTCCTAGCTGGAACAGACAGACTGGACAGGTTTTCTCCATTGAACTTATCCCAAAAAGCATTTAAATAAAATAGGCCTGCAGAAGTTTCATGGTAGTCTTGTTGTGATTATATGCATCACGAGCTAGTGTTTCAACAGTATCTTTCCTTGGTCTTGGAAAATAATATTAATTTGTGGATTTAGCTTTGTGGTATAACCTAAATCTATACATATATATGACTATGGTAGCGTCTGTTTATGAATTCAGTAGGTTGGGTGATTGCCCTGTATGAAGACTTAAAACCTATATAGTAAGTTCCACAAAAAATACATTTGTTATTGCAAGGCGAAGCCATTGTTGGCATGGCGGGTAGGCCATATCAACAATAGTCTAAGATGCCAATTTTTGTTGAGAACATTATTCTCACTACATAATCAAATAGATGTTAGTATTAGTGTTGTAGTTTCTATAATTTTGCATAAGAAACTGAAATGCCAATTACAGAAGATCAACGGTGCAAACATTGCCTTTTTCGAGCAGAAAGATTCTTATATCAAACGGAACTTTACATCACCAAAAGAGTAAGAGTACCAATAATTAATCCCACCTGGGTACTGTATTATTCTCTTTATGCCTCGGGCCAAGAAAACAAGATTGGGCATGATGTGCTGGTAGTGGTCTGTTTATATAGGAGGATAATTAGTGAAGATTGTGAAAACGAGCTTAAGACCTTAGCTTTGATTTTGAGTTTTATCATGCCTTGATTTGTGGGTTATGTTACTTATCTTGCATGGACACCCTAAATGTTGGGAACCTGTTCAAAATGGAATGGTGCCACATGGTGAAGCACAACTTTTTAAAAATAAAAAATGGAAGTTGGTGACTTATTAAAGGATATAGGGTTGTTTTATGTTTAGGTTGCAGGATTGCAGCAGATTGTAGGCAATGAAAATTTACCAGAATATTTCTAAGGGAGGATAGTGAAAATCTATAAATTTCTTTTTTTTTTATACTGCAAAACCACATTAGTGAATTTTGCCAAATTGGTTTTAAAATGTTGTAGATTTTTTGTTATGCATAACTTTCAACGTGCAATTTTTACGGAAGCTGGAAACATGGGATTTGGCATGGCTCATGTTTTGCTGAAAATAGAAGATAGGACTGCTCAATGTGAACATGAGTTTGTTCACTGAGAATTTCTCTATATTAATTTACTGTTACAGAACTCTCACAATTGGTCAAATGCAAGGCAAGTTTCAAATGGTAGTTGTCCGACACACTGGACATGCCATACAGGTCCGTATCAGTCATTTTTCTTTATGATCTTTTTTCTTACATTATTTTGGTTGAGATCACTATATTTCTCATATCCATTTTAACATCTATGTGGGATGCAGGAAGATGTACCTGAGGAATTCGCCACTCTCGTACTCAATTTTATATCTCACAATCGAATAGGACCCCATGGCGTCGAGGTTAGTGTTTGTAACTTGATATTTTGATGGTTATCCTTTTGAATCACAGAACTTTGGGAGCACCTATAGTCGAACCCTTTGATAATTACTTTTTAATAAGACATGTGATCTCTAATAACTGGTAACTTTTGAGGAAACAATCTGGTTATAGAATAGGGAAAATTACACTGACCTCCCCTGATAATTGAGAAAATTACAGCTGACCGTATTAATTTGGAAAAATTACACCAGCTTCCTCTGACATTTATAGTCGCATAATACTACACCCAGACTGTTAGTCAGTCATTGGGTTAGACCATGAAATCGTCATTTTATTCACTGAAGTATCAATGTTTCCCTTGTGATTGATATATGCATATAATAATACATTAGTTGAATAACATGCCCTCATCACACACAACAAAGTACACGCTTTATGAGCTCATTCTGAGTTCTCTTTCACTGTCCCACCCCTCTCTCTCTCTCTCTCTCTCTCTCTCTCTCTCAAATCACAAGAATCAGATCAGTCACACCTAATTGTACCTCTGATCAGCTACCATTAAACCCCCACCCGTTCATCTGATCCATCATCATTCGAACACCCCACACTCGTGACACCTTTCTCTGCTCTCTTCACTGCCCCCACCCCTTCTTCTTCTTCTTCTTCTTCTTCTCTCTCTCTCTCTCGATCGCGCACACACACACACACAACTCAGATCAAGCACACCCAACCCCACACCTGATCAGCCACCACCCAACCCGCATAATGTTCATGTTCTTTATGTATCCCATTTGCTCTATGAATGAATAGAACTCAAATTAATTGACTGTTGATCTTGTTCTTGTTCTTGAACTCTTCCATATGGCTGTATGCATCTTTAAACACATTGGCCTCAACAATCTTCTTTTCTATCTAACTACGTTGCATTGCAGATACCTGGGATTCGTCGACCAGCGCAGTTGCAATCCTAAATCAGATGGCATCAAGCTTAAAGATGACAAGCCCCACCATGGTGATAGTTTGTTTATTTTTTTTATTTTTTTTTTGTTTGGGTTCTCTTTGGCAAGTCAACAAATATGCAGCAATCAGTGATATTTTGATAAGCTTCAGTAGATGTATTATGTGGCATTCTTCACCAGAGGAGGATGTTTAAATTTTTTTGTTGAGATGAAATGTTTTGGAATTTTTTGTTAACTAATCATTGTGTTTGTCTGCTGATCACAGTTTTATCATTTGGGGCTAAAGTAAATTTATGCTTAAAGGTTGACTTATAATTTGGGACTGAAGTAAATTTGTGCTTAACAATGTTTTGTGCTCTGGTAGTGGCAATGATAGAGAAATTATTCCATTTATTGATTGACACCTCAGACAGTCTCTTAAAACTCCAACACAAAAGTGATATGTTTTGTACTTGGATCAATAGCTATTAATTTGGAATACCACTTGAACTTGCTTTAGGAGCACTAAATAATTTCTTGGCAATGACATATTTGCCTTCATTTGGTAACTTTTATCTATCGGTGGTACTGCATGCATCAATTAATGTACATACCAGTGTACCAACTAGTGTTATGTTATTATTACTGACTCCACCTATTATATAAATTATAAATATCCAAAACCTTTATAATTATGTCACATCATCGGTTAATATATTAGTTAGTACATTAATTAGTACATATAGCATAATTCTTTATTTATAGTTGTTCATTGTGCTTGGTTGGACAACTTCCAAGGCATCAGTAGCTGGCATGTGAAACCTTTCTAGCCTATTGCAATTTTAATTTATTGGTTATTTGTTTAATAGCTTTAATTTTGGGATATTTACCAATAAATTTCATCCCACAAACAATTGCACCAATTGGTCCCAATGTTATGTCTGTTGTTCTGATTAGTCCTATTAGTGGGAGAATATCTTCTTTTTTGGTCCTATTTTTCTTTTTTTGGCAACATTTAGTGGTCAGTTATACTCTTTTTTTTATTTTTTATTTTGGCTCGTTTGTGATGGGATTGGTTGTGCATATTGGCAACTTGAATATTGGAGTACAATATGTTGCCTCCATTACGTTAGGATTTGGGCTGTTGTGACCGGGGAGAGGGGGTTGCATGGGTGATTAGTGTCGTTGTGTGCCATTCGTTTTGGAGAATCGAAATTTCGCCGTCAGCAGTTTCGGTGTTCTGGATGTATGGTTCGTTCTCAGTTGTTATTGCGTGTGTGGTAGTGTGTGTGGGGTGTATGTGTATACTGCATGTTGTGTGTCGTACTGATTGCATTATTGTATATGGTTGTTCCCTATTCGTATTGGGCACATCCGTATTCATTGTTTTAACGAGTTTCAGGCGTATAAAGCGGTTTATGTGATGACACATTGGTGCCATTCATTTTTTTTTGGGGGGTTCCAGTGCGTGTTCGTATATAACGATATATGTATTTTCTCCTAAATATTGTTGTAACACAATGGAGAGTATATTGTGTATTTGATATACATGGGTGGGGTTTGTGAGGGTATTGGGGCCAAGGGGGGTGTTGCCATATGTTCGTACATTACAGTGGGTTTCGTTGCACTTATGATAATCTAACTCTATTTTGTGTCATTGGTTGGATATTGTAGGGATGGACACTTATGTTATGTTGGTGTGCTGTTATCGCGGTACGAACGTCACTATCAAATTGCAATTTTCATTCCGATTCGATGATTTGGTTAGTTGTGTTTGCGGGAAATTTGATGGTCTGACACATGGTGATGTGTGTTTGTTTTTTAAGATACTAGGATACAACAGTTTCAAATTATAAAATGATATCGATATGGAAAACATGGTATCTCTTGCACGGTCTTTCCGATTAGGACATATTGACATCGTCATTGAAACTTGTGTCACGCAAAGTACGCACGATACTGGCTGTGCAAATCAGAAACGATGTGATGTTACGTTCAGCTCGCTAAGGGTAGGAGAAAAGTTAGACATTGATGATGAACAAGATGATTTACTCCCCAAATTTTGTCCTCATGTTAACAAAGTTTTCATGTCTGTGCCATGGGTTAATGGCATCACACATGTGGGTCAAAGCTTGGAGGGAGGCGCTGCTGAATTTCGCAATGTCCTTCGTAAGTATGCGATTGAATGTGGATTCCGGTTCAAGTATTTGAAAAATGATTCTGTTCGGATTATAGCTGTGTGCACAATGAGGGAATCAACAGGATACATGTGGTCTATACATGCACGAGTCATGCATGCCGATGAGTTTTTCTACAGTTGTAAGTGGAATACAGAACACAGTTGCGGTGTTGCCATTCGCACACCTAAACACCCAAGGGCTGGGTCTAATTTAGTGTTTGATCTTATCTTTGAACGAGTACGTGACAAATTGCTAACACGCCTGATAGATGTTGTTTACGACTTGAAGAAAGACTATGGATTAGAGATAAGCTATCAAGTAACTTAGTTGGGCATTGCAAAAGCACAAGGCGAAATGTTCGGTGCACATTCCATTTCTTTTGATCAATTACGGTGGTATAGTAATTCTGTTATGGAAAACAATCTAGGCAATTATATTAATATTGACTATGATGACCAAAATCACCGATTCATGCAATTTTTTATATCATTTAAAGCATGCATTGATGGTTTCAATCATTGCCATCCTTTACTATTCCTGGATGGTTATCTTCTTGAAGGGGAAATTCAAAGGAAACTTACTAGCTGCAACCGTAAATGATGGCAATCAAGGTTATTCTCATTCATTTCACACAGTCTGCTAGTTGCATAACTATGTGTGTTGCCCTTTTTTTTTTTTTAAAATCATGTGTAAGTTTCATCCACTTACTGAACCCACTAACAATTTTGTATATAGGGTTGTTCCCATTGGCAATAGCAATTGTCAACTCGAAGAACACAACTAACTGGGCTTGGTTTTTGGAACATTTCCCGAGCGTGGTTACTACGGACATGACGCTTACATTCATATCAGACCGACACACAAGCATACTCGAATCTATTCCAAACACATTCCCATTTGCCCACCATGCGTTCTGCTTTCAACATTTGCAACGGAACTTGCAAGCAAGATGTGGTACACCAACAAGATGCACCATGTTGGCTTGCTAAGCAAATTTTGAGAATGTGCCTACGCACCAACCGTAACAACATTCAATTCTAGTGTAGAAAGGTTTAAGACATCGGGCTGGAGTGTGGCAACGAATTTTTTGAAAGATTTACCCCCATCATATTGGGCAAACACCTACTTCCGGTACGCACCCGTTCATGAATATAGGGCATGGAATTAATTACATATGCAGCCCATATCAACGTATGTCTTGTTCATAATTACATGAACATATTTTTACATTTCATGTTTGTTTTATAGGGGTGACCGATACGGTGAGATATGTTCTAATGTAGTTGAGTCAATCAACTCATAGATCCGTGAGGCACGTCACCTCCCGATCACATAGATGGTTAACAGCATTAGGACGAAAATTATAGATCAAATGTCAAAACGCAGACGTAAGGCGGCCGCGTGGCCTGTAGTTCTTTGCCCCAAAATGGAGTCTCGCTTGGTGAAAGCGTACAACAAAGACAGGACGTGGCTTTTAAGCCAATCAAATGAAAATGTGTAAGAGGTGTATTCGTACCCATCAGTACTTGTGGATATTGGCAGGCGCACATGTTCATGTTTCTAGTAGTAGATTAAACGATTACCATGTGCACACGCGATGGTTGCATTCCGTAATAGTGGATGAGATTTGTACGATTTGCTTGAACTATACTATCACGTGTCTGAATATCGTTTGACATACGTCTCAAGTATAACTCCAATACCAACTGTTGAGAAACCACCTTTCAATATTGAAGATTTCGTCATACACCCACTAGTTGTGAAACGGCCACCTGGTAGGCCAAAGAAAAAGCGGATTCTGTTAAGGAGTGAAGAAGTGCAGCAAATTCGTTGCAGATGTTGGCAACGCATGGGGAACCAGACATGTAAAGAACCAATTTAGCCTTCACTTTTTGCGACTACATGTCTAACGTTTTCGTCCCAAAGTTTGTCACTTCGGTTTAATTTGTTTTGCTAAATAAATGGGTGTCCAGACCCCCAACGTACCGTACTATTATGTTTTGCGTTATTATGCCGGTTTTATTACATTAGTTGACCAAATAAATTGGGTGGCACACAGCCCCCACATGAACCATTTATCCAAATATTTCCATCATTGTGTTGTGTTTAATTTTTCTTTCCCGCAGGGGGACATTGGTATGTATCTTACTATTGCAAAAATTTATTTTTTGTCTATGTGTTGTTTGCGTTAAGTGAATGTTACAGTAAAATATGTTCACATTCAGAACACGCTCCAAATTAAATGTCATTTCACACAAATATGTTCCTTTTCAATACACATTTTTAAAACAAAATACGTTCTTCACACCGTCACATTTGATGCACGTTGCGCTTAATCCATATTGTAATAAACACATCAACACATACAAACCAACTCCCATAAATTGTTCACCTTCTGCAACGCACGTCCATTCAAACATATCTCACAATTACACCAATTTGTTAGAATTTAGATTTGAACAATACATGACAACTATCTAAACCCACAAAAATATATACTGAATAAATCACAACAAACAAGCCATTCTGATTAACATCCAATTGTTGACACCACAAGTTGATTCTGTAAACCTATCCTCACCATTTCAAAGTTCTCTACCACTGGATAAGCAATGATGAAGTGTTGCATATGCATATACACTACCCCAATTCTTTGCAGACTAGTGCATCAATTACAAACTAGAATTATTCTCAATTGACCAATCTGTACATTGGGTCATATTTCTAATTTCAATTTAAAAACTGAGTATCAAACTATAAATCTTAGGCACATTGCACCAACAATAACATTCATCAAATTAATAATAGTGTTGGATCATATTGTAATACACACATCAACACATACAAACCGACTCCCAAAAATTGTTCACCTTTCGTAACACACGTCCATTCAAACATATCCCACAATTATACCAATTTGTTAGAATTCAGATTTGAACAATACATGACAACTATCTAAACCCACAAAAATATATACTGAATAAATCACAACAAACAAGCCATTCTGATTAACATCCAATTGTTGACACCATAAGTTGATTCTGTAAACCTATCCTCACCATTTCAAAGTTCTCCACCACTGGATAAGCAATGATGAAGTGTTGCATATGCATATACACTACCCCGATTCTTTGCAAACTAGCGCATCAATTACAAAC